GTGGATCTAGCTTCACAGTAAGTTAGGTGCATCTCGCTCTACACCATGGGGGTGGGGGCGCGCATCTCGCTCTACACCAAGGGAGGCGTGCATCTCGCTCTACACCAAGGGGGAGGATCCAGCTCCACAGTAAATGGAAGCAATCGAGCTCTACAATAATCTGGCTCCATACTAAGGGATTTAATCTGTCTCCACAAAAAAGAGGGTAGTCCAGCTCCATAATAAATAGGGTAATCCAACTTCACAGTAGGGGGGGTGTGACGATTGTGCGCAATAGAGGCATGGATGCTGTACATGACAAGACATCTTGTTAGGTCGCAGCCATGTTGTTTCTCCTGTCCTCCCTTTTCAATGGAATGCGAGTCTAAGTGAACGGAGGTCAAAAGAGCTTCTTATCCTAAATAAAACACAGCTAGATGAGCTCCATGGCTGTAAACCACTAATTAGTCTGGTTCCAGGGCTTCTGCTTGAAAACCACTTTCCTCTGCCTGATCGTAAAACAATAACAGTAACTCAGTCAGTCATGACCTGTTAGGCCATTAGAGCTAGGGCATGCCATAAAACGTACATTCCACATGAGTCATTTTTCATACAATTCAGAAACTTCAGCAGGAACTGGTCACATTAATATAAAATATATATTCGGATAGATCATTTTAATATGAGTCACATGAGACCTTACATCCCTATGTTAGCACCTACAAGAGAGTAGAAAGCAATTTCTTTTATCCTGAGTGACAAGGGTACGCTATGTTTGGTACCTTTGCATTTGGAATATAAATTCTAAATATTAATCTGCCATTTGCTAGGATGCTACCTGTACCTACTGAAGGTTATTGACGTTAGTATGAAATTGTAAGGGATTTGGTCATAACCTTGGTTACCGCCTAATGACGATTGGTCATTTATTCTCAGGCGACACCCCTTTGAGATGATAGAAAAAGACTGACAGCCTGGAGAAAAAGTAGCTCTCCTTTAAAATCCATCAGGAACCATATAAGAGACTTGAGAGCCAAGGCAGCCTTTTGTTTGGACAATTGGACTCTGCTCAAAACAAGGACTTTTGCAAGTATTCTGCCTTCTGAACTTCTTTTATTTCTCTGTTGTTTTTATTGCTCTCTTTATATCTTTGTTACATCTTTTTCTGTAAATATTTTAATTGCACCATTTTGACCTTTTTAGTAATAAATCCTATTTTCTGAAAAAGTGTTGAACGGTCTCTAAAGCTTTAAATGCAAACTAAAGAATTCCTGTCTCTGAAGAGTGCTACTGTATGTAATAAATCTTTGAATACATCTGTCTGTGGTGACAGGGTGTATTACAGTCGCTTTTCTTAATATTATAGTGTTACTGCTAAGATTTGTGAGTTTCCTCCTGTAAAAAGGTGGTGGTGGCAGTGTGAAGGGTTAATTGCGTAATTAACCTGACCCAGTAACAATCGCTCTCAGGCTGCTGGCACATAGATTGTGGTCCCGCGAGCTAGAAAATCTTTGTGCAGGGCGCAGCTGAGAGTGGCATTGTTACACAAGTGACAGCGTGGTGTGAGATCAGCTGGTCCTTTGGTCACGAGTTGGTGAGAAGGCCTGGGGTCTGACGCCACGCAAAGTCACAGGAGATAATCAATCTCCACAATGAAGAGGATAATCTGGCTCCACAGAAAGGTGAAGGGGGAATCTAGCTCCACAGTAAAAGGAAGTAATCCATCCCCACAATAAAGGGGGTAATATATTTCTACAATAAAAGCAGGTCATCTAGTGCCACAGTAGGGGGGTAACCCATGCCCACAATAAAAGGGGGTAATCTAGCGCCACGGCAAAAGGGAGGTGCTGATCTAGCGCCACGGCAAAAGGGAGGTGCTGATCTAGCGCCACGGCAAAAGGAAGGCGCTGATCTAGCGCCACGGCAAAAGGAAGGCGCTGATCTAGCGCCACGGCAAAAGGAAGGCACTGATCTAGCGCCACGGCAAAAGGAAGGCACTGATCTAACGCGGGGCTTGAAATTTCCGCTCGCCAAATGCGAGGGGAAATCCCTTTGTGGCGAGCACAGATGGATGGGTGGCTTGCAATGAAATCCCCAGGCCCCGGGGATCGATTTGCGTTCCACTTGCACTCCAAGCCTCGTTGTGAAGCCGACTTCCGGTTTCCGACCTCTTCTTCACCGCCCTGGGGGACACAAGGAGAGGCTCGCTCTCCACCGCCCTGGGGGACACGAGGCCCGCTCTCCACCGCCCTGGGGGACACGAGGCCCGCTCTCCACCGCCCTGGGGGACACGAGGCCCGCTCTCCACCGCCCTGGGGGACACGAGGCCCGCTCTCCACCGCCCTGGGGGACACGAGGCCCGCTCTCCACCGCCCTGGGGGACACGAGGCCCGCTCTCCACCGCCCTGGGGGACACGAGGCCCGCTCTCCACCGCCCTGGGGGACACGAGGCCCGCTCTCCACCGCCCTGGGGGACACGAGGCCCGCTCTCCACCACTTTGAAGTGGTATTTTGCATCAGAAAAAGGGTATTACACAAGTCTTGGTCCTGCTGTACAATGAAAACCATGGCAAATCTTGATGTGAAACTGGCTTCCTACTGTTTTTTGGCATCCCAAAAATTATTTTTTGGGTGTTTTTTTTTTTTCATTGAATAGATTGCAATCCATACGCAGCCATTGAAGTGGTATATTGCATCAGAAAAAGGGTATTAAACAAGTCTTGGTCCTGCTGTACAACACAAAACCATGGCTGCTCGATTAGCACATCTTTGTTAAAATGTTTTCTATTGTTATGCCATGTTTTTTGGCATCTAAGTAAGCACTGTTTTGTTTTTTCTTAATGCACTACTTCTCTAAGCTCTCTTTTAATAAATGCTGGAGATAAAAAATGCAAAATGTTTACTATTGCCGTATTTATTTTATGCAATGTTTTTTGGCCATCAAAAGGGCACTTTTTTCTTAATGTCACACTTCTCTAAGGTCGCTGTGCTGGAGATGAAAAATACATTTACGAGTCCCTATTATTCCATGTTTTTTTGATGCATCAAAATAAGCACTTTTTCTTATGCTTATATGTGTCCTGTAAACTAAGCATACAATCTTTTCAAAAGAGATTTTAGTTACTAAAGTCACTCAGTTTTTAAAGATGCATGAGATAACACAAAAAAAATACAAAATGTTTATTACAGGTTTAAAGCTGTAAAACCTGATATTTGATCACCACCCTCACATTGCTATTAAGCCATACACTGTTATGCTTAAATTGAATAATAAAGTTAATAATTGCAAATAATTTTTTAAATTTTGGACTCTTAAAAATTCTAAAAAAAATGTAATTTCATAAGCTTTAACTAATTTGTGGTTGGGGGCGGGGTTGGAGGCAGATCTGGGCAAGGTTGGGTGGGGCAACTGATTTGGAGAGTAAGGCTTTTTGTGCCTGACTAGTAGGTCTAGACTTTTTTTTTTTTTTTCAAAAATTTTTAATTTCCCTGATAGCGCCACGGCAAAAGGGAGGCGATGATCTAGCGCCACGGCTCAAAAAAAGGGAGGCAATGATCTAGTTCAGTGTTCTCCAAACTGCGGCATTCTTTGCTTGCCTTTATCTGGCCCTCAGGAAGGGGGTACTGTTCCATTGGAACTGGTTAAACGCACTACTTGGGGCACGACGCCTCCCACTGGCGCCAACGGTGGGGCACGACGCCTCCCACTGGCGCCTAACGGTGGGGCACGACAGTAACTATTATTCCATGTTTTTTGGCATCCAACGGTGAGGCAACGACGCCTCCCACTGGCGCCAACGATTTGAGGCACGACGCCTCTTTTTAAAGATGGCGCCAACGGTGAGGCACGACGCCTCCCACTGGCGCTGTAAAAACGGTGAGGCACGACGCTCCCACTGGCGCCAACGGTGAGGCACGACGCCTCCCATGACGCCAACGGTGAGGCACAAGCCTAATTTCACTGACGCCAACGGTGAGGCACAAGGCCTCCCACTGACGCCAGTACGGTGAGGCACAAGGACTCCTCCCACTGATAGCGCCAACGGTGGCGATGCACAAGGCCTCCCACTTTGCGCCAACGGTGAGGCACAAGGCCTCCCACTGGCGCCAACGGGTGAGGCACAAGGCCTCCCACTGACGCCAACGGTGAGGCACAAGGCCTCCCACTGACGCCAACGGTGAGGCACAAGGCCTCCCACTGACGCCAACGGTGACGGTGAGGCACAAGGCCTCCCACTGACGCCAACGGTGAGGCACAAGGCCTCCCACTGACGCCAACGGTGAGGCACAAGGCCTTCCACTGACGCCAACGGTGAGGCACAAGGCCTTCCACTGACGCCCACGGTGAGGCACAAGTCCTTCCACTGACACAACGATAGCATGCATAGGTGTAAACCAAGGCATAGGGAGGTAATCTAGCTCCACAATATGGGGGAATAACTGCCCCAATATGGATGGACTATTCCACAATTTGCTCAGTAGATGATAGTGAAGGTAATCTTACTGCATTTGAAGGAAACTATGGTGGAAATCAATATTTCGGAGGATATCTTATGAGATCACTGGCTTGACAACCTACAGGGAGTGCTAGATCAGTATACACTGCTATCACATTTCATAGCTTTGATCTCCCCCTCTGCAGCTTGGTGAAAGGATGGCTCGTGACTTTATGAGGAAACTTCAGACTGCAATATCACCATCAGGTGACCAATGTACTCCTTTGTGACAATCATCAATGATACTAGCATCTTTACCTTTCCTGACTCAACGTATAAAGATGTATATAAGAAACATGTATTACAGAACAGATGAAAAGCCACATTACCATGAATAGACCGTGCACGGCTCACACTGTGACAACACAGTCACGATACGTGAAATGTATGAAATGAGGTCATGGTTTGCACTGCATGTAAATGACTGATCGCTGAACCTCGTACAGTCTATGTACACACACAGTTCATGGGAAGGGGTTCCTACAAGCCCAGCACATCTGACCGATACATAACGTTGAACCCTACCTGAGTCCAGTCCGTACAGTGCCGCTGTATGAATCCTCCCCTCAGCAAACTGGGGACATGACGCCAGGGCGGAGCCTCAGTAACCCAGCACACACTGGGCGTCTCCATACACCCACTTCCTTAATCTACGCCAATGGGCAGCCAGCAGCTTGTTCGCCAATAGCATCGCAGGTATTATTAGCATATGATAGTTTAGTACTCCGGATTGGATAAGCATAGGTTAGACGGTTGGGTGTCTTTCAGATTGGCTGGGGATTGGGGCGGTGCTGTGAGATGGATGTGCTAAAAGGAGAGAAGGCGGAGAAGACGGCTACCTGTTTGGTTGACAGCGGGGTGCCTAGCCAGCGGAGGCCACAAGAAAAGCGGAGGGCGAGCGGGAACATTGAACAGATTGCTCCTGCTAACACTCGGCAGTTAATATAGAAATATTCTGGGAGGTAGCTGTGTGGTAATTGTAGAGTAGTCTAGTCAGGTTGTAAAGGTAGGTATTTGTAATAAAGGTGTAGTAGTTGTAGGTACTCTTAGGTTAACCACTTGCCTTCCAGAGGATTTACCCCCCTTCCTGACCAGGCCATTTTTTTGTGTGTTACTTTGACAATTGCGCGGTCATGCAATGCTGCACCCAGATGACATTTACATACTTTTTTGCTCTCCGCACCTCTGCAGAAATAATGCTACAGGACAGCATGGGACGCGCACACGCACGATTTTGCATTTCCAGGTAGGATTTCCAACGGGGAGAGCTGTTTTGTTTACTAACAGTTTCTCTTCCATCAGCTCAGGCACACTGCTCTGAATGGCACAGCCATCCAAAGCAGTGTGATTACAGTGAAGGACACAGCCCCCTAGTAAACCACTCCCAGCATACAGTTTTAACCCTTTGATCTCCCCTCATGTTAACCTTTTCCTGCCCAGTGCCATTAGTACAGTATCTGCTTTTTTTTTTTTTTTAGAATATCTGCTGCAGTCCCGCTGTAAGTCACTGCCACCATTACTAGTAAAAAAACAAAACAAAATCCCAAAATATACCGCCATTTGTAAACGCTATATAACTTTCACGTAAACCAATTAATTTACACGTATTGGGATTTTTTTTTTTCAGCAAAGACATAGCAGAACACATTTTGGCCTAAATGTATGACGATTTTTGCTGGACATGTTTAATAGCAAAAAGTCAAAACTTGTTTTTTTTTCTCAAAATTGTCAGTCGTTTTTTTTTTTTTTTTTTTTAAATGCACAGGTGGTCAAATACCACTGAAAGCTCAATTTGTGGGGAAAAAAGGATGTAAATTTCATTTGGGTGCAGCATTGCATGACCGCGCAATTGTCAAAGTAACGCAGCGCCGTAACACAAAAAATGGCCTGGTCAGGAAGGGGGGTAAATCCTCTGGAGGACAAGTGGTTAAACATGTCCAGTTAAAAAATGAAAAAAATCAAATTTCAACATAAATTTAGGCCAAAATGCCTACGTGCCTGCTAAAAAAAAAAAAAAAAATCCCAACACGTGTAAAGTAATTGGTTTATGTGAAAGTTATAGCGTCTACAAATAGCAGTATATGGATTTTTTTTTTTTACTAGTAATGGTGGCAATCAGCGACTTATAACGGGAAAGCGGCGGGGCATTCTGACACTGTGGGGAACTGACTTAGTGTCACTGACATCCCCAGTGGCACCAATACATTAATCGGTGCTAATAAAAAGCACTGACACTGTACTAATGACACTGGGCAAGAAGGGGTTAACATCTGGGGTGATCAAAGGATTAATTGTGTGATGTTTCATTGTGTGCTGTGTGAGTGCTTTACACTGTAACCATAATGCTTTGTATGGCTCTGTTATGCAGAGCCATACAAAGCAATGTGCAGGAACTGAAGGGAGAGATCTGTGTTTATACACAGGTCTTTCCCCCGTCAGAGATACTAGGCGATCACTGGGTACCGGCAGAACTGCAAAATCACGTGTGTATATATAAGTGATTTTGTGCACCTTTGCCGCCCTGTAGCAGTATTTCTGCTATAGGGCAGCACGGAAGAAGTTAAAGTGATTCTAAAGGTTTTTTTTAAAGGTCTATACTTACCTGCTGTGTGCAGTGGTTTTGAACAGTGCATCCCAGATCCTCGGGTGCCCCGCAGGCTCTCCTGGCCCCTCCATCCAAGTTGGGTGCCCCCACAGTAAACAGCTTGCTATGGGACACCCACTGCTCTGTGTGTCCACACATGGAGCTGAGGCTTGGCCCTGCCCCCCTCTCTCGGCTCACTGGCTACAGGATACATCGGTTGTATGGTAATTGCAGTTAGGGTAATGGTTGTTGTAGGTTAGTTGTAGTAAGGGTACGTAATAAAATTGAAAAAAAAAAATAAAAGTCCATCTAGTTCAACCAATAGCAAACCTCTACATTTTACAAGCCTATACCCACAGATGATCCAGAGGAAGGCAAAAAAAAAATTAAGCATCCAAGCAATCCAATTTACTCCAGAAGGGAAAAAAATACTTCCTGATCCCCTAGGATGCAATCTGATATCCCCTGGATCAACTACCCCTGGTGGTATTACCTATACATGTTAGTATCCAGATATATTTTGTGTATTTTAGGAATGAAACCAGCTCTTTTTAAAACAATCTACTGAGCTGGTCAGAACTGGTTCTTGAGGGAGTTGTTTTCCAGCTCATAGGCAAGCCATAGATGATTCGATTTTGGTTGCAGGAAAGAAAATAGCTCAATTCCCCCATCAACACAGTGCTCATGGGGCATAGGTTTCTTCTCTTTGTTACTTTGAAATACCTTTGGGTTTTTTATATTTTGAAAAGTGTTTATGCTTGTTGATGTGAAAGTTTCAAAGAGGGGCGTTTTCTTGGTGGGTGACTAATGGTTTTTCGCAGGTGCGACACTTTTTGATTTTTCGGTGCTTTCCCACCTGGGACTCTCTTCGGGAATCCCGGAATATCCCCCCGGTGGAATTTTTTCGATATCATCAATTGCGACACTGGCTGCTCTCGCTGCGGGGTACTTCTGCGTTCCTGTACCAGAAATCTGCCTTTGAACAGCTCTGCCAACTGCGTCCGGGCGCTCCGGGCCTTATATCCCTTCTTTATGCAGCTCTGAACAGACGCTCGTCGCATACTTCTCTTTCATATGTTGTTCAGTGGGAGCGTGACCTGGGAGTGGCTGTGGATCCGGAAGACTGGAATAAGGCCTGGTCACTCATAGCTAAATGCTCATTTAATATGACCACACTGGAGGCAGCCTATAAGGTATTGTTTCGTTGGTACTGGGTTCCGGCTCGGTTGGCCCGGGCTAACCCTGCATGTAGTGATCAATGTTTTCGGGGTTGTGGTCATCGTGGTGATGTATTACATATCTGGTGGTCATGCCCGAGACTGTTTCGTTTTTGGTCTCGTGTATTTGGCCTCCTTTTCACCTTGTTCCATCTCTCCATACGCCGGGATGCTCGGTATGCCTTGCTTCATTGCCCCATACCGGGCCTCTTAGCTCACCAGCAGAAGTTGGCTTCCTATCTGTTTTTATCCGCCACTAGAACAATTGCTCAGGCCTGGAAGAGTCCGTTTGTCCCTCTTCAGGGGGTGCGGGATCATATGACCACTATGATGCTCAACGAACAGATGTCGAGTATCCGCAACGACTCCCAACGTAAATTTTTGAAAATATGGGAGCCGTGGTTGCAATATGCCCTTCCCTCACTCCACCCGGCTAGTCTGGGGATGTAATGGCGTTCGGTATTGGCGCTCTTGAATCCCTGCTCTTTGCCCCCCCACCCCTTTTTTTTTTTTTTTTTTTTTTTTTTTTTTTTTTTTTCTCTTTTCTTTTTTCTCTCTCTCTCTGTTTTTTTGGTGTGACTGGACAGCTGCATTCAGTTGTTATAATCAGTTACATTAATGTTTTGTAACTTATGTGCCATTGATAGCCCCTGCGTGGGCGCACCTTTTGCCCTGTTGGCATTAGAGAATTGTTTTTTTCCCTTTTTTTTTTATTTTGCATTTTGTTTATCTGTGCAATTGATAGCCCCTGCATGGGAGTGTTTTATTGCCTCTGTTTTATACTGTTTAAAAAATTTAATAAAAACCATTGAAATAGAAAGTTTCTAAGAAAGAGGAGGTTGGTGGATAGTGAGTGTTGTTTCTGAGAGAAGGGTGGAAAATGTGTTTTGTGGGTGTGGATATGCAAATGAGGTTTGGAGAAGTTTGGCAAAAATGATAAAAGATTTGACTTTGTTGGAGAGGGTTTCTTTTGAAATAATGATATTTGGGTTGTATAATATTGGGAACAATGAAAGGAGATTATTGTAAATCTTGTGTAACTGAGTGAGAGAACGTCTATGGGATGTGAGGAATATTCTTGTTTTCAAGAAGGAAGAGTTGGTGGTGAGGGAATGTGTGTCCATGATCCTTTGAAGGCTTTATCCATATGGTATGGTGATATTAAAAAAAAAAAAAAAAAAAAGGGTCATGGGGAGAAGTTACATGTGTGATTCAAACAATCCAAGAAAGGGACCCCAACATAGGGCATCTAATGTAACTCACCAGATGACCCCCCCCCCCCAAAAAAAAAAGACACTGGAGGTAAATATTTCCTTTTACCACTTCCTTGAATATTGATATTGTAAACTAAAGGAAAATAGAACAATCATTACAGGCTAAAAATAAGGGACATCTATATTGTTTTTCCAACCTTCATTCCCTCATTCTATAAACATATACGATTATATTTTTATATTCAAAGCATATCCTTTATATAAGGGATTTCTAAGAACAAAAACCTTAAATGCCCCCCCCCCCCCAATTACTTAAAAACATGACCTACCCCAGTAAAAGGGGAACCAGATCCCATTTTTAAGGGTTTTTGTTTTTTTTTTTAAATCAAGTAGTTTTTATAGAGGTATTTTTGCAAGTCATACAATGTATCAACAAACAAGAAACATAACTATGACATGGAACATCAGTATGTCAGCACCGGCAAACGCCAAGCCGATCGTCTTATGAACAGTCCAAACAACAAAAGAAAAAAAAACAATGAGGTTATAGGCCATATAAACCAAAAAACAAAAGAAACATTTTTTAGTCATATACAG